TTTTTTGAGTTGGAGTCTCACTCCGTCGCCCAGATTGGAGTGCAGTGGCATGCTCCCAGCCACTGCAGCCTTGACTGCTGGGCTTCAGCGATCCTTCCACCTCAGCCTTCCAAGTAGCTGGAACTATAGGTGCGCGCTACCGTGCCCAGATAATTTTTGATTTATTGTAGAGACAAGGTCTCACCAAGTTGCCCGGGCGGGTCTCGAATCTATGGGCTCAGGCAATCCACTTGCTTCAGCCTCCCAAAGTGCTGGGATTACAGGCTGAGCCACCAAGCCCGGCTCCAATGGAAAATTTATTGGGTAGAACTTGAGCCTTGTAATCATTGCTGTTGCCAGGGAAAGTTATTCCTCAAACTAGCGAGCCAGTTTAAATGCCCACCCCTGGAGCTAGGGGAAGGGAGATCCCCTCCCCATAAAAGGAAAATTAAGGTCTTGTTACCAGAGGAAGGGAGGCCAGATTTGGGACCAGCAAAAACCATAGAGCAGAGGATTGATACCCCTCTGGCTCTAACATTTGATGCTTCCAAGGCCTGACAGGTTGGGGACTGAAGACAGGCTCCCAAGAGAAGGAGGTGGTATTGGAATTGGGCCTTAAAGGACACAGAGGGCTAGGGTCAATGGCTCAGCCTATAATCCCAGCACGTTGGGAGGCTGAGGCAAGTGGATTGCCTGAGCCCGCAGGTTCGAGACCCACCCGGGCAACTTGGTGAGACCTCGTCTCTACAATAAATCAAAAATTAGCCGGGTGTGGTAGTGCGCACCTATAGTTCCAGTTACTTGGAAGGCTGAGGTGAAAGGATTGCCAGAGCCCAGCAGGTCGAGGCTGCAGTGGCCGTGAGTGTGCCGCTGGACTCCAACCTGGGCGACAGAGTGAGACTCCAACTCAAAAAAAAACAAAAACAAAAACGGCACAGAGCCCACAGGTGGCTGAGAGGTGCAGGGGTAGAGGGAGCAAAGGTGGATGAACACTTGGGTGTGTTTGGGAACTGCTTAGAAGACCAGCTTGACTGGACAACGAGGGTGTGGAAATTGGTCTGTGAAAGTTAGTTGGGACCAGCCAGACTGGGGCTTCCCAGGTTTTGGGTCCTGCCCCCAGAGTTCCCAGGTTCACCCATACTGGTTCTGCTGGAGTGTTTGCATCTCAAGAGGGGATTTCTAACCAGGCATGGTGGTTCATGCCTATAATCCCAGCACTTTGGGAGGTGGAGGTGAGAGGATTGCCTGAGCCCAGGGGTTCAAGACCAGCCTGGGCAACTTGGCAATACCTCATCTCTACAATAAATAAATCAAAAAATTAGTAAGGGGTGTGCCTGTAGTTCCAGCTACTTGGAAAACTGAGGCGGAAGGATCACCTGAGCCCAACATGTTGAGGCTGTGGTAGCCATGAGCAGCGTGCCACTGTACTCCAGCCTGGATGACAGAGTGAGACCCTGACTCAAAAAAAAAAAAAGAGGAGATTTTTGTGGGGTGGGGGAGTCTGTGCTTTCCAGGTCTCTGATGGCCACTTCCCCTCCCTCAGGCATTCCTGGTCTATGCCGCGGGTGTCTACTCCAACATGGGCAACTACAAGTCCTTTGGTGACACCAAGTTTGTCCCCAACCTGCCCAAGGTGAGCCAAGGGAGGGTTGGGGAAGGTTAGGAGGAGGGGACCAGTGGGATGGGGGTGGCGAATGCAGTAGAAGGAGCCCCTACCGGATTCAGGGATCCTGAGCAGAGCTTTGACCCTGTCACTGCCACCCTGTGTGACCATGGGTGCCACCCAACCTCATGGGGTGCTGCAGCCTCCTCATATAAAGGAAAAGCACAGCTCTTCCATGCCAACTCACAGGTCGAACAAGGACAGATGTGAGACTGTTCTGTGAACTTTTAGATGCTTGCCAAAATGAAGCTCGTTGGTCACTACTGGAGCAGTGGGGAAGCATGGGCACCCCTCCTGGGGCTCAAACCCATCTAGGGCAGGGGGAAGTGGCTCTTAGACTTCACTTCTCAGACAGTCACTTGCACGTGTCTCCTGGCGATCTTGGTGAAATGCAGCATCTGATGCAGCAGGTCTGAGGGGAGCCCCAAGACTTGATGCTTCTTGGGGACCGGACTCTGAGCCAGCCAATGGTCCTGGACCTGGAGTGGGGCCTGGACGCGGAGGCTTTGGAGGGCAGGTTTGGGCCATGTGACTGGGCCAGTGCCCTCCCTCCCCCGCAGGAGAAGCTGGAACATGTGATCCTGGGGAGTGAGGCAGCTCAGCATCACCCAGAAAAAGTCAGGGGCCTCTGGCAGACCTGCGGAGAGCTTATGTTCTCTCTGGAGCCACGGCTGCGACACCTCGGGCTGGGGAAGGAGGTAAGGCCCCCAACTACATGGGGAGGGGAGGGCATCCTTTGAAGCCACCTGGTTGCAAGGGAAGGGCACCCGATGGGGAGGCGAAACTGCTTTCCACCATGGGCCTTGGTTTGTCATCTGTAAAGTGGTTAGCAGGTTGGGTGGGATGCTTTCTGAATGGCCTCTCAGAACTGGCATTCTGCACGCAGGATGCTGTGTGCAGCCAGAGGGAAGGAGAGGAGGGCTGGGAGGTAGAGGGAGTTGGGGCGGCAGGGACAGTGGGGAAGGAGAGGGTCCCTGGCTTCCCACCTGTGGAGCATCTTAGGCTATGTGGGGTGAGGGCCATGGCAAACCTTAGGGGTGCACCAGCCTGAGAGAGGCCCGCAGGGCTGTGTGAAGGCTGCAGTGAATGTTTATTTTACAACTTTTTTTCCCAGAAGAGAGAGGGAGATGAGTTGGAGACTGCTGAGAGGGGGTAGAGGAAGCCTGAGAAGGGATTTGCCAGCTGTCCCTGCAGGCCTCTGACCTTGGCAACTCTGTTTTTCCAACAGGGAATCACTACCTATTTCTCCGGGGATTGTACCATGGAAGATGCCAAACTGGCCCAAGACTTTCTGGACTCACAGGTTTGGGGTTGGGGAACTCAGGGCGGTGATTTGATAGGGCTCCTCATCCCAGCCCCCTCACCTTTGGTGACCACTCCTGGGTCTCAGCTTGGGCCCAGAGACTTGGGTTCTTGGGGTGGAAAAGACTTGGGGAATCCTCACGTAAGAGGTTAGCCTGGGCTGGGCTTGGTGGCTCAGTCTATAATCCCAGCACTTTGGGAGGCCAAGGTGAGTGGATTGCCTGAGCCCGCAGGTTTGAGACCAGCCCGGTGAGACCTCGTCTTTACAATAAAATAAAAAATAGGCGGGTGTGGTAGCGCGCGCCTGTAGTTCCGGCTACTCGGAAGGCTGAGGCAGAAGGATAGCTGGAGCCCAGAAGGTCGACGCTGGGGTGGCTGTGAGCGTGTGTGCCACTGCACTCCAGCCTGGGTGAAAGAGTGAGACTCCAACTCAAATAAAAAAAGAGGTCAGCCTGGCACAAACAAGGCAGATGTCCCACTTGATGCATGGTAGGGAAGAAGCCATCCCTGCCACACTCCGGGCTGTAGGGCCTGATGACAGCCTCAGGGTAGTATGATGCAGAACCTCAGGGCCTCACTTCCGAGCTTGGTTTCTGGAGTCCATGTGTCAGAGGGACTCTAAGCTCAGCTGCTCTCTGGGAGTTCCACTGACATGTGTGGCCACTTTCCACGTCTGTGAAATGGTACTTGTCTCGTGTATCCCTGGGTTCACTGAGGTCATGCAGTGCCTGGCACAATTGAGTTGATGCTTAGTAAAAGTTAGCGCTCATCGTACTGAGCAGAGTCGGCCCTGGCCGGCCCACTTCTGCCGTTTCCCTCTCCCAGCCAACTTGGAAGGTCCCTGGGAAGCCCCGGCCTGCTTTGCCCTTGTGCCTTCTCTCCCTGGTGTGCCTCCTCACTTTCACTCCTCCCACCCCACTGCTTTCTCCAGACCTCACTCTCCCTATACCCCTGTCCTGGTCTTTTCTAGAACCTCAGTGCCTACAACACACGACTCTTCAAGGAGGTTGACCAGGAAGGGAAGCCCCGCTACGAGGTGCGGCTGGCTTCCGTGCTCGGCACAGGTGAGCTCAGGCCCTGGCTGGGCATGCTTCACACCCTTTCTACTCCCTTCTCAGCATTTCTGGACCTGGGTGGCTCAGACCACCAGTCCTGCCCTTCCAGCAGAAAGGGTCCTCTCCCAGGAGTTTCGGCATAAGGCCTGGGAAGGGCTCTAATTTCTCTAGGTTGTATCGCATATTTATCGGTGAACCAATCCCTGTGCGCAGGCAAGGAACGGGCCTGATTGGCTCAACTTGGTCTCAAGCCTACTCAGGCAATGAGGTTGATCACCGCCCCCCCACCTCCGCAAACCACCTGGATTGGAGATGGCAGTGGGAAAGGGTTCTCAAAGGGAAACTGGGATCTTTTCCCAAGTGAGGGAAAAATGAACACAGTGTGGACTGAAATATCCAGGCCCCTATGAGAACCATTGCCACCTGGCCCTTATTTCACCACCCACTCCCCACCCTTCCGTATCTCCCACAGTCTCCTGCTCAGATTCTGTGCTCTGGCCATGCTTGACGGCTTCCAGTTCTCACGTACCCTATCCAGACCTTGGCAGAATTTTCCCTACTTCCTATGGGGGACTCCCTTCAACCCCACTGTGTTCCCCTTGCCAACTTCTCCTCATCCCCATCCCCTAGGCCGTATGTGGATGTTGCCTTCTCTGGGACCCTCCCCCATCTTCCCATGACTAAATCTATGCCCTTTCCTCTGTGTCAGCACCCTCTGTAACTTCCCTATGAGCTCCCTAGAGGAGGCCGTGTGTTTCACTTTCTGTTGTCTCCCCAGCGCCTAGTGCTCGGTGGATACTCAGGCCCTGTGTGTGAGAATGAATGAAGGTGTGTGGGAAACTGCAGAGCAAACAGCGTGAACCAAAGCAGCATGGTGGGGAGGCTTAGGAGTCTAGCAAACAGTCTGGTTTGATGAGGGAGAGAGATGTGAGTTCAGAGAAACAGGAATAGATCAGACTAAAACGTAAACTGGGTCTATATTGGCATTTCAGGATGGATGCAGTATAGGGTGGTGGTGAAGGGTGTGGCCCCGGAGACTGAGTAGATCTGTCATCTATCACTGTGTCACAAATGCCCCCCCAAATCTAGTGACACAAATCCACCTTTACAAGCTCACAGACTCTGTGGGGGCAGGATTGTAGATGGAACACGGTGGGGACAGGTGGCCTCCAGTGAATGGTGTCTGGGGCCCCAGCTGGGAAGACTGAACAGTTGGGCTGCAGTGGCTCAGTCACTCACACGGATGCTTGCTGCCGGCTGGGACCCAAGTTGGGACTGTCAACGTGCATACCTCACGTGGCACCTTAGTGCTCATGATGGCCGTGTTCCAAGAGTGAGTGTCCCGGGAGGGCCAGGCAGAAGCTGGCTCGCTGTGTCTAACCTAGCCTCTGCACTCGAATTTCATGAGGAGGGAACACAGATGCAATGGGAGGAGTCACAGTAGGGAAGAACAAGTCCGACAGGAAATACTATGCCTATCTGTTGTGTTTTTATGTAGTCTAGAAGTATATTTTATCAGAGACCAGCAGAATACAGCCATAATTAGCATCCTCTTGCCTCTGTAACAAAGTGCCACAAATGTAGTGGTACAAAATAACACAAATTTATACTATTATAGCTGTGGAGGTCCAAGGTCTAAAATCAACATGTTAACTGGGCTGTGTTTCTTCAAGAGTCTCGGGGGAATCTGTTTCCTTGCCTTTTCCTGCTTCCAGAAAGCTGCTTCGGTCTGGTGCAGTGGCTCACGCCTGTAATCCCAGCACTTTGGGAGGCTGAGGCGAGAGGATTGCCTGAGCCCGGGAGTTCTAGACCAGGCTGGGCAACCTGATGAGACCATGTGTCTTCAATAAATGAAAAATTAGCCACGTGTGATGGTGCACGTCGTTGGTTCCAGCTACTTGGAAGACTGAGGCAGAAAGATTGCCTGAGCCCAGCAGGTCAAGGCTATGGTGGCCATGAGGGTACCACTGCATTCCAGCCTGGGCAACAGAGTGAGACTCTGTTGAGACTCTGACTCAAAAAAAAAGAAAAAAAAAGAAAGTTGCCTCCGTGTCTTGGTTCTGGATCCTTCCTCTCTTTTCTCTAACTTCTTTCTGCTGTCGTCACAATTTCTCCTGATCCTGTCATGATTACATTTGGAATGTGGCTGGTTGTGTTTTTGGTTTTTTGAATCAGAGTTTCACTCTTTTGCCCAGGCTGGAGGGCAGTTGCACAATCATGGCTCACTGCTGCCTTGACCACCTGAGCTCTGGTGATTCTTCCGCCTCGGCCTTCCAAGTAGCTGGCACTACAGGTGTGGAACACCACATCTAGCTAATTTTTTTATATTTTGTGAAGACGAGGCCTTGCTATGTTGCCCAGGCTGGTCTCAAACTCCTGGTCTCAAGCGATCCTCCCATCTTGGCCTCCCAAAGCACTAGGATTATAGGTGTGAGCCACCACACCCAGCCGACATACATATTTTTGAAGATGGGAATTTATACTAATGTGTGTTGGCAACGAGGAGCTGTTGAAGATCTTAGAGTAAAAGAATGCTAGCTCATGCCTGTAATTCCAGCACTTTGGAAGGCTAAGGCAAGAGGATTCCCTGTATCCAGGGGTTAGAGACCAGCCTGGGCAACTTGGTGAGAACTCATCTCTATAATAAATCAAAAAATGAGCCGGGCGTGGTGGTGTGTGCCTGTGGTTCCAGCTACTTGGAAGGCTGAGACAGAAGGATCAACTGAGCCCAGCAGGCCAAGGTTGCGGTGGCCGTGAGCATGCCACTGCACTCCAGCCTAGGCAATAGAATGAGACTCCAAATCTAAAAAAAAAAAAAGAAAAGAGTACTGTGGGGAAACCCTGCTGAGGTGTCTTATACTCGCCTTTCCCTTGAATGACCCCTCTTTCCCCAGAGCCTACTCTGGACTCTGAAGTGACTTCCAAGCTGAAGAGCTATGAATTCCGGGGGAGCCAGTTCCAGGTGACCCGGGGAGACTATGCTCCCATCCTCCAGAAAGTGGTTGAGCAACTGGAGAAAGCCAAGGTAGGACCGACTGGGGGCTGCAGGGGGCAGGCTCAGGACCTCCCTGGGCAGCAGAGGGGCTTATGGGAGTGTGCGGGTGGCCTTAGGCTGACCTACCTCTACTCATCCCAGGCATATGCAGCCAACAGCCACCAGGAGCAGATGCTGGCTCAGTACATAGACAGCTTCACCCAGGGCTCTATCGAGGCCCACAAGAGGGGCTCCCGCTTCTGGATCCAGGACAAGGGGCCCATCGTGGAGAGGTGAGTCTCCAGCTTCACCCTGCGCTTCTATCTGCCTCCTGTCCGCACCTCTTTCATCTCTGTCCTTCTCTTTCCCCAGCTACATTGGGTTCATTGAGAGTTACCGTGACCCCTTTGGTTCCCGGGGAGAATTTGAAGGTAACGTTGGAGGTGGGGTGGCAGGAGAAATAAGGTCAGAATCCCTTCCCCCATGTCCAAGTTCACTGGTCCAGTGCTCTCCAAGAGTTCTTCCCTTCCTTTACAGTCAAGATAAATAAACATTCTTTGCCACGTACTGGCCACTGTTGTGTGAAGTTCACCTATGTCAGCTCATTTAGACATCATCACCTCATGAGGACTTTTATCCTCGCTTAACAGATGCAGGAACTAGGGCACAATTGGTGGGTGGCCCAGGCACCTTGGCTCTGAGCCACTTTGCTGTGCTGCCTCTGGTGTCTGGTCAGGATACAAGCTCCAGGCAGATGCATGCATTCCAAGCCCAGCTTTGCCACTCACTGGCTGTGTGACCTTGGGCTGGTTAACCCAACCTCTGAGCATCAGTGAGATAACATTTGCAGACTGCTGCACTGAGTCGCTGGGAGCACTGTGAACCTGACCTGGCGCTGACATCCTGGGCTGGTGGCAGGTTGCCTCAACTTCCATCCCTGTGCCCTATGGCACCCACCTATGCAAGGCAGGGTGTCCACCCTGAGGATTCAGTCATGTCTCTGCCCACTGTTGTCCTTCCTAGGCCCTGCTGAAGCCAGAGAGATTAGCCTAGGAGGAGGGAGGAGAGTACAATAACCCACCGGGGGCATGGGTGTGAGCCCTAGAACCAGGCCCAGGAGGCAGGCCATCTGGGGGCCTGAGGGGGAGACACATTCACGTACCCCTCATTTTCCCACCTGGGTCCTGATCCAGTAGGGTCCAAGCCTGGGTCACTGCTGTCCCCAGCAGCTAGCACGGGGTCATTGCACACAGTAGGCATTGATATGTGTGTGATGGCTAGAGGGGTCACGGGGTTGAGTAGGGTGGAGTAGGAGCTCTCCCAGAACCCCACCAAGCCACAGCACCCTCCCTCCCCTGCAGGCTTCGTGGCCATGGTGAACAAGGCCATGAGTGCCAAGTTCGAGCGACTGGTGGCAAGTGCAGAACAGCTGCTGAAGGAGCTGCCCTGGCCCCCAGCCTTCGAGAAGGACAAGTTCCTCACCCCCGACTTCACTTCTCTGGATGTCCTCACCTTCGCTGGCTCCGGCATCCCTGCTGGCATCAACATCCCCAACTGTGAGCGTCGTCCTCAGACTCAGCCCTCAGTCCCAGAAGCTTCCATGTAGAATCACCCCCCAACCCCTCCGCACGCATGCGCCCCACAAACTGTCCTGTTCAACTCACCATCCCAGCCTTAAGAGCCTCTTGTCTCTTACTCTTGACCTTCACTGTGGTCCCTTCTCTGCCTTCTCCAGATGACGACCTGAGGCAGACGGAAGGCTTTAAGAATGTGTCTCTGGGGAACGTGCTGGCTGTGGCCTACGCCACGCAGCGGGAGAAGCTTACCTTCCTGGAGGAGGATGACAAGGTGGGCACCGATAGCCAGAGAGTAGAGGCTGGGCTGCTCCTGCCTCAGTGGATCCAGGAGGGTGGATAGCCCAGGGCACAGCTTCAGTCCTGGCCCTGCCACTTCCTGGCCTTGTGTCACTTTGGAGCCTCAGTTTCCTCACTGGTCACCCGATGGAGGTGTTACTTCCTCCCCAGCTGTTTCAAGATGAGATGGGCTATGTGGGGCACCAAGCACCATCATGGGCCCTCTGCCTGCCTGGGGGAGGCCGCCATGTCGCCATGGCAGGCCCGTGGACAGGCAGGTCTCTCTCCTTGTCTTGGCAGGACCTGTATATCCGCTGGAAGGGGCCCTCCTTTGACGTGCAGGTGGGGCTGCACGAGCTTTTGGGTCACGGCAGCGGCAAGCTCTTTGTGCAGGTGAGACGACGGCGACCAGTTCACTGCCTGCAGAAATACCTGGGCCTACGGCTCCCCTCCCCCACAACCTGCCCTTCCCAGGGTGAAGCTGCTCCAGTCTCTGCCCTAGGGTGGAAAAAACAAGCTCTTAAGCAGGGAAGACTCTATGTTGCCTTCCACCAAAATGTTCCAGATGACTGAGAGGGTGCAGGGAGACCTCCAGGTGCAGGGGGTGTGTCCTCTGTACCAGGAGGGGTTGCTTGGCTTAAACCAAGGAAGCACACCCTGAGAGTATGACTCCAGCAGCCCCGGGGACAAAAGCTGTCCTGACGCTGAGTGCTGTGTCTTCACAATGCTGTTCCCTAGAGCCTGGATTTTTCCAGGTGTTGTAGGGAGCCACTTTTCCCAGAGCAGCACCTTCCTGCCAGGTGGCTAGAGCTATACATTCTCCATACCTGCTCAGGGAATGTAGAAAAGACAGACAAGGCTGGGCATGGTGGCTCAATCCTGTAATCCCAGCACTTCGGGAGACTGACGTGAGAGGATTGCCTGAGCCCATGGGTTCGAGAACAGCCTGGGCAACTTGGCAAGACCTCATCTCTACAATAAATAAAAAAATTAGCCAGCATGGTAGTATGTGCCTGTAGTTCCAGCTCCTTGGAAGACTGAGACGGAGGGATCACCTGAGCCCAGCAGGTTGAAGCTGGGGTGGCCGTGAGCATGCCACTGTACTCCAGCCTGGGTGACGGAGTGAGACTCCAACTCAAAAAAAAAAAAAAAAGAAAAAGAAAAAGCAGACAACCTTTCTGGCAGGCTGAAAAAGATTATTGTGAATTCCCAGCATGGTGATGACTAGAGATGGGATGTGGACCCACTCAGAGCATGGGGTTTGAGGTAGGGTGGGTTTGCTTTCCTGAACAGGGAAGGACAGGAGCTGGGCCTTGGAGTCAGAAGGATGCAGGAGGCAGCTGAAGGGGCAGTAGCCTGGTAGTGTGGCCTTGGATAAGTCAGTTCCTTTCACTGTGCCTCAGTTGGCCCATCTGTAAAATGGGGTTCCTGACCCCTACACTACACAACACGGGAATGAAAGCAAAGGTGGGTAGTCAGTCCTGGCACACAGTAGGCCCTCAGCAGGCGGGTGTTAGCATTGAGAGATGGTGTATACAGAGTCATGTGCTCTGATTCTGGTTTGAAGCTCTTAAGTCTCTGAACCTCAGTCTCCTTGTCTATGAAGTGGGGTCATAGTGACATTTGCCTTAGTGGTTGTGAGGATTAAATGGATCATGCATGCAAGATGTTTGGGACGTGGTGGGGACAGTGAGGAAGACGCTGAGGACTTCTCTGGCAGCTCCAGGAGTTGAGCCAGGAAGCATGTGGGGAGGGGAGGAGCGGCCACCCTTTCTAGCCCACCCTTTGGGGCATCCCTGACTGGGGTGTGGAGACGTCCGGCAAGTCCTTCCCCTGTTTGGCCCTCAGTTTACCTCTCTGTGCAGTGGGGTAGGCGGCTTTGGTTCTTCCACTCTTTTTTTTATTTTTGAGTTGGAGTCTCACTCTGTCACCCAGACTGGAGTGCAGTGGCCACTCCCGGCCACCACAGCCTCGACCTGCCGGGCTCTGGCAATCCTTCTACCTCAGCTTCCAAGTAGCTGGAACTACAGGCGCGCGCTACCACGCCCGGCTAATTTTTTGATTTATTGTAGAGATGAGATCTCACCAAGTTGCCCAAGGCGGGTCTTGAACCTGCAGGCTCAGGCAATCCACTCACCTCAGCCTCCCAAAGGCATGGGATTACAGGCTGAGCCACCGGGTTCTTCCACTCTTAAGGGCTCTGAGGAGGCAGCCATTGTCACAGTACTCTGAGGTTTGGAGACGTCAGTGTGTTGATGGCCCTTCTGCTCCTACCGTCCACTCCTGCCCCCTGACTTGCCATTCTGAGCCACTTGGGCCCATGGGTACCGGCACTGAAAGCCTAGACCTGGCTGGAGGTGCCTTTCCCTCACTCCCCCTATGCCCTGCAGGATGAGAAAGGAGCATTCAACTTTGACCAGGAGGCAGTGATCAACCCAGAGACGGGGGAGCAGGTGAGGGCAGCCGCCACAGAGCCCCGGGTACTGGGAGGGTGGGCACGGGTGGGGCAGCGGCCAACCCTAAGCCTGATTCCTGGGCCTCCCTTTTCAGATCCAGAGCTGGTACCGCAGCGGGGAGACCTGGGACAGCAAATTCAGCACCATCGCCTCCAGCTACGAAGAGTGCCGGGCTGAGAGCGTGGGCCTCTACCTCTGTCTCCACCCCCAAGTGCTAGAGTACGGGCAGCAGGGCAGAGGGGTGGCCCAGCCTCGGGGAGGGTCAGGGCAGCCTCTGACCTTCCACACCGCCGCCTGTCTCTCCCTCCCCCAGGATCTTTGGCTTCGAGGGGGCTGATGCAGAAGATGTGATTTATGTGAACTGGCTCAACATGGTTCGGGCTGGGCTGCTCGCTCTGGAGTTCTACACACCTGAGGCCTCCAACTGGCGACAGGTGAGGGCTGGGTAGAGTCCTCCCAGGAGGCATGAGGGGGCCTGCAGTGGGCGCCAAGATCAGAATTCTGCGTGCAGGGATGGGACAGCTACCTATAAGGCAGATGAACTGGTTTAGTCCCAGGCCCCACTGTTTGGGTAACAAGTCACTCACTTGTGTGAGCCTCAGAGTACCTGCCTGTAAAATGGGAGGAGGCCTCTCCCCGGCCACCTTTCAAGGTGAATCAGATGAAATGGTTTTACTATTACTCCTCACAACTGACTTACTCTATGCTACACGCAGTTTTAAGCACCTTACATGAATTAACTTTTGTTCCCAGTATCAACCCCAGGAGGTAGGTACTATTATTATCCTCATTCTGGAGATAAGGAACTTGCAGCTAAGTGGCAGAGCCAGGATTCAAGTCCATGCAGTCTGTCTCTAGAGCCATTAGGCTTGACTGCTCATGTATATGTCCTTTGGAGATAGAGTAAGTAATAAAGAAAAAAATTTAGACTGGGCACGATGGCTCATGCCTGTAATCCCAGGTGAGAGGATTGCCAGAGTCCAGGGGTACGAGACCACCCTGGGCAACATGGCGAGACTTCGACTCTACAGTAAATAAGAAAATTAGCTGGGTGTGGTGGTGTGTGCCTTTAGTTCCAGCTACTTGGGAGGCTGAGGTGGAGGGATCACCTGAGCCTAGTAGGTTGAGGCCGCAGTGGCCGTGAGCAACCTGGGCAACAGAGTGAGACTCCTACTCAAAAACAAAACAAAAAACAAAAACAGTTTGTCACCCAGGCTGGAGTGCAATGGCATGGTGACTTGGCCTCCTGTGCTCTGGCAGGCCTTCTGCCTGAGCCTCCTGAGTAGCTGGGACTGCAGATGTGCAACACCGCTCCCACTAATTTTTGATATTTTGTAGAGGTGAAATCTTGCTGTGTTGCTCAGGCTGGTCTCAGACTCCTGGATTCAGGCAACTCTCCCGCCTCAGCCTCCCAAAGTACTGAGATTACAGGCATGAGCCACCACACCCAGCAAAAAACTTTTTAAAAAATCAAATAAGAATAGTTTGTGAAAGCAATATTATGTTATCAAAAGAACATGTTTCATGCCAGGCACGGTGGCTCACGCCTGTAATCCCAGCACTTTGGGAGGTGGAGAGGAAAGGATTGCCTGAGCCCAGGGGTTCAAGGCCAGCCTGAGCAACTTGATGAGACCTCATCTCAATAAAAAAAATTAAAAAATTATCTGGATGTGGTGGCATGCTCCTGTGGTTCCAGCTGCCTGGAAGGCTGAGGCAAAAGAAACGCCTGAGCCCAGCCGGTCAAAACTGTGGTGGTGGTGAGCATGCCCCTGCACTCCAGCCTGGGTGACAGAGGGAGACTCTGACTCAAAAAAAACCCAACAAAACAACACATTTCAGGGTCTGGAAACTTGTGTCTGAATTCAGGCTGTTCCTTTACCAGCATTGTGGCCTTGAGGAAATCTTTTCATCTCTCTGGGCCTCTGTTTTGTCATCTGTTAACTGCGAATAATGATGCCTGTGCTCAGGCCTCCTGAGTAGCTAGGACTGCAGATGTGCAACACCACTTGTGGAGGTTGTGGAGGAGAAAGTGCTTGGGGATGCTCAGGGGTAGCTGATGTCCTGTGGGGTGTGGAAGGAGATTAGGAGTAACAGGGGGCATGGTGTGTGTCAAGGGGCAGCATGGGACATCGGGTCCTGCCTGGGAATGGCTTCCCTGTTCCCTGGGGCAGCTGACCCTCCCTGTGAGCAGAGGAGGAAGGAATCCTTTGAGGGGAAACAAAGAGGCCAAAAAAATGACCCAAAGAGTTTAGGAGAATAAAATGCCATAAAAATTGACAATTAATGAGCACATACCATATAATCAGGCTTTGGCACTTGATACAGGCTAAATGACCCCTTTCCCCTGGCCCCGGCAGGCCCACATGCAGGCCCGGTTTGTGATCCTGAGGGTCTTGTTGGAGGCTGGCGAGGGTCTCGTTACCGTCACTCCCACCACAGGCTCCGATGGGCGCCCAGATGCCCGGGTCCGTCTTGACCGCAGCAAGATCCGGTCCGTGGGCAGGCCCGCCCTGGAGCGATTCCTACGGAGACTCCAGGTAAGCGAAGGCTTCTTTGAGGGGTGCCCCCCGACACATCCCCCCCATGCCTCCACCCTCCCAACTCCCCACCCCTGCCAACTTTTGCCCTATCTCCACACCTGTCAACACTTCCTCATGGTCTTCTGATAAATTCATTCAACAAGTCTATACCGAGTGTTACCATGTGCTAGGCACTGTGAATGAGCTGTGAGCAGTTTCTTACTACCATAGTGAGGGAAGGAAGGCAATTAACATGTAGGCAGTGAGTGAGCTAGGTAACTTCAGGTAACAGCAAAAGCAGCTGCGGTGGCTCACGCCTATAATCCCAGCACTTTGGGAGGCCGAGGCGAGAGGGTTGCCTGAGCCCATGGGTTCGAGCCTGGGCAATTTGGTGAGACCTCATCTCTACAAGAAATCAAAAAATTAGCCAGGTGTGGTGGTGCGTGCCTGTAGTTCCAGCTACTTGGAAGGCTGAGGTGGAAGGATCACCTGAGCCAGCAGGTCAAGGCTGTGGTGGCCGTGAGCATGCCACTGCACTCTAGCCTGGGCGACAGAGTGAGACTCCAACTCAAAAAAAAAAAACAAAACCAGCAATAACTATGAAGGCATTAAAACTGTGTGATGTGATGGTGAATGTGATTAGAGGGGAAAGAAGGGGCCATCATCGTCTGGGTAGGCTTCTTGGAAGAAGTGTCTGCTGAGCAGGAATTTGAGTGCCAATCTTAGGACCATAATGAGCTTAGTGGGTTAAGGAACAAAGGAGGGCTGGGGCTTGGTGAGCGAAGCAGGAAGAGGACAGTGGTCAGGACACTGCTACCTTCCCTGCCACACAGGGACATAGGGAGTCAGGAGACTTTCGGGATTCTGGTGCCAGTGCTAACTAGCTAGATAATTAGGGCATCACATTTTTCTCATACACCTGTGAGGATTAAATGACACATCATACATACATAACTGAGCAAATGGAATGTCGTATTACTCAAGCCAGAGCAACACAACACCCAGGAGGTTGTGGTCCATGGACCAGAAACTCAGCATCACCCAGGAGCAGGTTAGAGATACTAGATCCTCGGGTCCCACCCCAGACCTCCTGAATCAGAATCTCTGAAGGCTAGGACCCAGAAATCTGCACGTTTACTAGGTTCCCAGGTGATTCTGAGGCTATGCAAAGTTTGAGAACCACTGATAAGCCACTCTTTAAAATACAGTATTAGCTGGGCGCAATGGCTCACTTCTGTAGTCCTAGCACTTGGGAGGCCAAGGTGAGAGGATTGCCTGAGTCCAGGGGTTCGAGACCAGCCTGGGCAACTTGGTGAGACTTCATCCCTACAATGAATTAAAAAAAAAAATTACCCAAGCATAGTGGCACGTGTCTGTGGTTCCAGCTACTTGGAAGGCTGAGGCAGAGGAATCACCTGAGTCTAGCAGGTCGAGGCAGCAGTGGCTGTGAGCGTGCCACTGTACTCCAGCCTGGGCGACAGAGTGAGACTTCAGACTCAAAAAATAAATAAATAAAAATGAAAGAAAATACAGTACCTTCCATTAGAACAGGTTCCTGCTGGGATTTCCAATCTGTAGAAGGCCCAGCCTTTAATTCACAGATTACAAATCATATACCATGATCATCAAATGATGATTTATTCAATCATAAATCACAATATTTCTTTGTGACTATATTCCCACTTGTTTCCAAAAGGGTTTAAGGTATTTTTTTCAGAAAAGATATGTGTCTATCTATTAAAGTAAAAGAAAGTTAGAAATTAAAAATCATCAGTTGCAAAACACAATGTGGCATCTTGGATTGGCTCCTGGAATGCAAAAAGGACATTCGTCTGGGCGTGGTGGCTCATATCTGTAATTCCAGCACTTTGGGAGGCCACAACGGGAGGACTGCTTGAGCCCAGGAGTTGGAGACCACCTGGACAACATAACATGGACTCTCCAGTTTGCCTGGGTCCTCACCGCTTCTTGTTACTTGTAGCTGCCTTTAATCACTCCTTTATGACATCACCTGACTCCTTGGCATCTGCATTGCCAGCTCTCCAGGTTCAAGCTCCTGCAGTGTGAAAGGTCACCTTGATGAATGTGTATTCAGCACCTTCTGGGTATTAAGTATTATCGAGAAGAAAGGCAGGTGAGACATTCTGTTTAACCTGTCCCCAGGAGTTCCCAGTTGGTTTTATTTACTGCGCAGCTGGGGAAGGTCATTTTAACCCTAGGTCTAAGAAAGTGGAGGTTCACTTGGAGGGACTTCGAGGCTTAAATACTGCTTTGCTGCTTGCGAGGTGGCAGAATGAACAAGGACCAGACCCACCAAAAGTCAGATCTCTAGAAAAGAACCAACTAGAAATGCTTGAAATAAACTAGATGAGCACTGAAATTTAAAAAGGCAGGTTAACTCGTAGGCAGATTAAACAGGTTTTAGATGTAGCTGAAATTAAATTGTAAAACATAGAACATAAACGAAGATAGAAAATTTAAAAGAGAGGTTAAGAGACATGACAGAGTGTGAGAAGGTCTAATGTATGCCTAACTGAAATTCCAAAAGGAAAACAAAAGGAAAAAATAAGAGAGGGAACAAGAAGAGACATAGTGGCTGAGAATTTTTTTTTTTAAGTCAGAGTCTCACTCTGTTGCCCAGGCTGGAGTGCAGTGGCACATTCACGGCCACCGCAGCCTTGAGCTGCTGGGTTCGGGTGATCCTTCCACTTCAGCCTCACAGCAGCTGGGACTACAGGCACATGCCACCACACCCAGCTAATTTATTTATTTATTGTAGAAATGAGGTCTCACTGGTCTTGAACCCCTGGGCTCAGGCAGTCCTCTTGCCTCAGTCTTCCAAAGTGCCAGTATTACAAGGCATGAGCTACTGTACCTGGCCCTAAGAATTTTCTAGAATTGATTAAAAACACCAATTTATAAACCCAGGAGGCTCAAGAAATCCCAAGAAGGACAAATGAAACCCCAATCTGGAAACATCATAGAATAAGGCAAAACACCGAAGACATGGAGAAAATCTCTGGCTTGGTGCGGTGGCTCATACCTGTAATCCCTGCACTGGGAGGCTTAAGTGGGAAGATCACTTAAGCTTTGGAGGTCTAGGTTATAGTGCACTATGATCACACCATAGTACTCCAGAATAAAAATTTATATCTCATGGTTCTTGAGGCTTGGAAGTCCAAAACCAAGTAACCGGCAAGTTCGATTGTCTGGTAAGGGCTCTGTGCCCCTTCTTTTTTTTTCTTTTTTCTTTTGAGTCGGAGTCTCACTCTGTCACTCAGGCTGGAGTGCAGTGGCACACTCACGGCCACTGTAGGCTCGACCTACTCGGCTCAGGTAATCCTACTCAGTTTTCCAAGTAGCTGGAACCACAGGCATGCGCCACCACACCCAGCTAATTTTTAAATTTACTGTAGAGACAAAGTCTCGCCAAGTTGCCCGGGCTGATCTCGAACCCCTGGACTCAGGCAACCCTCTCACCTCTGCCTCCCAAAGTGTTGGGATTACAGGCATGAGCCACCGCACCCACTTGCTCTCCCCTTCTAAGATGACACCTTGTTGCTGTATTCTCTGGAGGGGAAGATGACTGTGTCTTCACATGGTAGAAGGCGTGAAGGCAAGCCAGCCAAACACACTTGAAGCTTCTTTGATAAGGTCCTAATCTCATTCACAAGGGAGGAGACTTTCCTCATGACTTGATCACCCCTGAAAGGCCCCACCCACCTCCTAAAACCATCATATTAGCCATTAAGTTTCAACACCTGAATTTTGGAGGGGACATATTCAGACCATAGCATGGACTACCTAGGCTTGGGTGCAGTTGACTGTGGCCCCCGGCAGAGCCCTGTGGATACAGGTGAGTGTCCGCCCTGGACACTTACTCCCTTCTTCCCACAGGTACTGAAGTCCACAGGGGATGTGGCCGGAGGACGGGCTCTGTATGAGGGATACGCGGCGGTCACTGATGCGCCCCCCGAGTGCTTCCTTACCCTCAGGGACACAGTGCTGCTACGCAAGGAATCTCGGAAGCTCATCGTTCAGCCCAACACTCGCCTTGAAGGTAATGGTCTCTTGAGCCCCTTTTGAGGGGGCCATGCAGAGCCCTATGGAAGCACAAAGAACCCGCCCAGGGACTCAGGGTAGGCTGCTTGCGGTGGCCCTTCCCTCCCTGCCAAGCCTTCCTCCAGCCAAAACTTTAGCATCTACCACCACCACATAACACACACAGGGTCTGCAGGTTGTAAGACTCCAGCAGAGGTTCTGAGAAAGTCCAGGAGAGCAGGGGCTAGTGGAACAGACATAATTACAGGGAAATTAGACCTGTTGGGTACTCGGGCTTGAGATCAGGCAGGGAGCTGGGATCTAGCAGGCCTAGTGGTACCAAGGGGACAGTGTGACTTGGCTGCAACCAGGATGGAGATCAACAGCTGCATCATCCCTCTTCCATCTCAAGTGACAATTCCATTTCCAAAAGTTGCCACCCCGTCCACACGGCACTTGTACCTTTGGTATTATAAGCTCTTGGGGTTCCAGCACCTTACTGTGCTCACATTCCTCACCCCTTGACTCATCTTCCCAGACACCTGTCACTTGAGGCATCTAAGATGAGGGGGTGCCATGGAGCAGTTAGAGGATCAGCTTCAGAATCACCCTGTGACCTTGACTGCGGTACTTGACCTTTCCCATCTTCATACATAAAGCCAGTGTTGATCGCATTCTGATATGATAGTAAACCGGAAGTACTTCCTTCAAGTTGTTTTCCGTAGATTAAACTTTTAAATCCTCACAATAACCCAATAAGTAGACATTTTTGTTATTCCTATTTTAAAAATAAGGAAACTGAGGCATGGAGAATCATTTCTGCAAGGTTTATGCCTTTTTAATGGAGGAGCCAAGAGTCAAATTAAGAGTATTTGAGCCATGTTTGCTGGCTTGCACCTGTAGTTCTAACTCCTTGGGAGGCCAAGGCGGGAGGACTACTCAAAGCCTGAAGTTCAAGACCAGCCTGGGCAACATAGGAAGACCCTGTCTCTAAAATAAAATAAAAAGTTAAAGCTAGGCGCAGTGGCTCAAGCCTATAATCCCAGCACTTTGGGAGGCTGAGACTAGAGGATTGCCTGAAACCTGGGGTTTGAGACCAGCTTGGGCAACTTGGCGAGACCTTGTCTCTACAATAAATCAAAAAAATTAGCTGGGCATGGTGGCTTGGGCCTGTAGTTCTAGCTACTTGGAAGGCTGAGGCGGAAGGATAGCCAGAGTGAGACTCCAACTCAAAAAAAAAAAAAATTAGCTGGATGTGGTGGCACATGAGCTACTTGGGAGGCTGAGGTGGGAAAATCATTTGAGCCAGGAATTCAAGCCTGCAGTGAGCTATGATTGTGCCACTGCTCTCCAGCCTGGGCAACAGAGCAAGACCCCAACTCTTAAAATTGTTTTTCCTCCTCACTTCCATCTGCCATGGGCAATGTGAGGGTTAAACAGAAAATATATATTAAAAGTCATGACCTATTATTGGTGAGGAAAAAGTATTTATTTATTTATTTATCTATTTATTTATTTATTTTTTATTATTTTGAGTTGGAGTCTCACTCTGTTGCCTAGGCTAGAGTGCAGTGGCACACTCACGGCCACCACAGCTCTACCTGCTGGGTTCAGGTGATCCTTCCACTTCAGCCTTCCAAGTAGCTGTAACTACAGACGCACACCACCACACCCAGCTAATTTTTGTGATTTATTGTAGAGACGAGGTCTCTCCAAGTTGCCCAGGCTGGTGTCGAAACCTCCGGGCTCAGGCAATCCTCTCGCCTCGGCCTTCCAAAGTGCTGGGATTATAGGCTGAGCTACTGCACCCGGCCGGGAAAAGCATTTATTAAGGGCTCATTCCAGACCCTTTACCGTGCCCTTCAGAGGGTTCCTGGGATTTGGCTCCCACCCCTTGCCAACCTTACCCCCTCTTCTCTGGCTCGTGGCATTCCACGCTCCTGGCCCTTCCGTTTCTCCAACCCACTGAGCCTGCGCCATTCCTGTAGACTTTGTATGAGCTGTTCCTTTTGTTTGGCATGATCTTCCCCAGGTCTGGTCATTTGGGTCCCTGTTAAATGGCACTTTTTTTTTTTTTGAGTTGGCGTCTCGCTCCATCGCCCAGACTGGAGTGCAGTGGCATGTTCTCAGCCACTGCAGCCTCAACCTGCTGGGCCCAGGCGATCCTTCCACCTCAGCCTTCCAAGTAGCTGGAACTACAGACACGGGCTACCACGCCCAGCTAATTTTTTGATTTATTGTAGAGATGAGGTCTTACCAAGTTGCCCTGGTGGGTCTCAAACCCGCAGGCTCAGGCAATCCACTCACCTTGGCCTCCCAAAGTGCTGGAATTACAGGCTGAGCTACCGAGCCTGGCCAAATGGCACCTTCTAAGGGAGGCTGTTCCTGACCTGACCCCTCAACCTTCTCTGTTCTGTCACCCAGCTTCAGATTTTTCACATGCCCATCACTCTTGCCCATTTATCTTGTTGGTGTCATGACAGTAGACGCAGCAAACCTAGCACCTGGCACATGGGCTGGCACACTGGAGCTGCTCAGTGCCTATCAAGTGAGAGAATGAATGAATCATGCTGGTCACGTGGATAGTATCGTCAGTTGCTTTAATATGTCCATTCCTGTGGGAAACACTGGGTAACCACTGGGGATCTGGTGGTGAATGGGACCCAGGCCCTGCCCTCAAGTAATGCATATAAGAGAAGCGTTCACGAGTGCCCAAAAGATAAACACAGTTGGCCAGGTATGGTGGCTCATACCTCTAATCTCAGCACTTTGGGGGGTGAAGGTGAGAAGATTACCTGAGCTCAGGAGTTTGAGAACAGTCTGAACAACATGGCAAGACTCTGTTTCTGCAATAAATTTAAAAATCAGCCGGGAGTGGTGGCACATGCCTGTGGCTCCAGCTACTTGGAAGACTGAGGTGGAAAGATCGCCTGAGCCCAGCAGGTCGAGGTCCAGCCTGGGTGACAGAGTGAGATTCTGACTCAAAAAAAAAAAAAAAAAAAAAAAA